GTAAACGTCTTTACCGCACGGGTCTCTAGGTAGAGCGTTGCTTTAGAAGATGTATTTCTGATAGATAGTTGACGCTTAACTGTCTTTCTATATATTCTAAATATTAAGAAATTTAATTCCTTACCTGTTATATATTTCAACATTATTATTAAATTGCATTTTGTTTTATTTTAATCTGTTAAAATAAACAGTTACTTAGTAAGTAAAAATAATTTTAAATTTTGGTATCAAAATTATACAAATTTCCAAAAATAAGTATACAAGAAATATGTGCACTTATTTAACAAAAATATACATATACAGTCACTTAATTAACTCATTGAAAAATATAAATATTTAATACACTACCAAATAAAAAAAATACCACAAAAATCTGTTTTTAAAACTTATGATAATTTTCCTTAACTTCTTACACTTAATTTTATACAGCACCTAAAAATTATTCTTTCAAAAAATGAGAGGATGCTTTTAATAATAATAAATAAAGATAAAATATTTCACTTGTATAATTATCGAGTTTTAGATAAACTCATAGACACATCTTATCTATATTTACATTGTCCACTAAATAAATTTAGGAACTGATAAGCTATCTTCGAACCGTTTAACTACGGTCAAACTAGTCAAACTTTATTTCATAATGAATATAAAATGCCATTTCTCTTCATATGGCCATCGTCGGCCACTATGGCCACAGTGGCCGTGTATTTTTGACAATTAAATGCCACTTGACATAGACACAATGCGTGGCGAATAAAAATATAGGTCAGCCAGTGGCTTCGATTCATTGAGAGACGTACGGTGATAGTGTAAATAAAAACACGTGCTTACTACTCGAATACACACACACTAACATATAACTAATATATATACATATATAATAATTATTATATGTTTTTACTTGTATATTATAAGTAACAAAAATCATTAAATAATATTTAAATTAAACTAATATTATTCGGATTTATTACGCGTATTTCACATCTCGTCATTCCGTGATCACGGTTGCTGAAAATTAACCGAAACTTTGTTGTATGTAGTTTTAAATAAAATACTCGTAGTATTAGTTTCATTCGAAAAATATTAGTTTCATTTAAATGAATACTCGCAAAGCCTAGCCATATTTCATAATACGTCAAATTTATCCGAAAGCTAACAGAGTATCAATTAGTTGGTAACATCAAAGGACTGGTTTTAATATGGCCGGATATTTTTAAATAAACGAGACTCGGCTGACGGATGATGGAAAACTTAAAAATCAATAAAAGTCCAGACGGAATAATTGGAGTACACATGTGTACTGACCACGTGGGAATTGTTTACTATAAATAAAAGCCTACTAAGGCTATACATTGTTTTAACAAACTTACTTCTTCCTGGCAATTTTCCAGATTTAGCCAGGGCCTGCCTTACATGTGAATAGTTTTGGCTAATTGATTTTAAAACCGCCTGCCTGATATCAACCCTCTTTGTAAGACAAACAAACTTACATGGTCACGATTTATATATGATCTCATAATTATGATAATTAATAGAAATTAAATACTAATATTAAATAATTAATGAATATATCGATTTTAGTTTCGGATTTAATTCTAACTTGTTTGACGGGGAGTAAGCTAAGTGCATTATTGAAGTCTGGGTTCTGCGTCTAGACGGCTGAAAAATATATCTATATTATAACTACGCTAAACGAGAAGGTAAATACATCCATATATAATGAAATGTATGTATGTTAAATAATTAATAGCAGCATAAAACAAGGTAATTCCGCCATCCATTATTATTTCATGAGCCTTTTTCAGTACGTATTTTCGTCGTTACAATGTGTACTGTAATTGACTTCACTCGTATTGTATACCCTCAGAGTATATACAGATATATTTAAATTAAAACAATATTCTTACATATAAAAAGAAATTATTTAAATTTGCTACCATGTAGGTTAGTCTAAAGAGGTTTTAATACAGAGATTTTCAATAATATTATTCTCTCTGCATAGTAGTACAGTATCGTTTTGATAATTAATATATGGTTATTGTATGAATAAATATATTATTCCCAAAGAGGGTTGATGTCAAGCAGACGGCCAGACCCTGGCTAAAGCTGGGAAATTGCCAGGTAGAAGAAGAAGATATATATAATAATGTTGAATATCTTTGAGGTATTTCATCTTCGTTCATAAGTCGCTATTAGCATCAAAGACGTAGTGTTCCTGGTTCCTATAATTATTATTATCGTATTTATAATATGATGGAAATAATATCTTGAGATAGATCTTACGATACATCTTATGAGTTATGATAATTCACTTTGACGTCGATCCTTACGTGTATCACTATGAAATGGATGAACCCATTTTGATGTAATAAGATTTAAAATTTTAATTCATTACTTAAATATTAAGTACTAGCTGCGCCCCGCGTTGTTACCCGCGGATTGCTGGGATTTCCGGTATGTAAAGTAGCCTATGTGTTATTCCTGGACGTCAGCTTCCTGTATACAAAATTTTAATAAAATCGGTTCAGTCATTTGAGCGTGAAGAAGTAACAAACATACACAAACACTCACAAACTTTCGCAATTATAATATAAGTAGGATGTGAAGACGGCGCTTATATTATGTTATTGTTGAAAGATTGTTTGAATTTTATTTATATATACAGCTTAGCGAATTTTCTGGTTTTGGTAGATGTATGAAATAGAATATGTGTTTTTAATATATATGTATATTCCCGCCAATTTTAACACAAGTTTCTATATAGTATCGCATCATATTCCCTCATGGTAACGCTAGACGCCGCGACGCCATCAACCTCACACTATACGTGAATTACTACAACTCACTGATACATATCTTTCATAATATATATGTATAAAGTTAATGTTAAAAAACCAGCGAAAAGTAAAAAAATAATAATTATTTATTAATAGAATCTAGACTAACATGAGATCTAAGACTTTCGCAAGTATTCATTTAAATTAAACTAATATTGTTCGGATTATTATGCGTATTTTATTATTAAGAACATATTCCCAAAGTTTCGGTTGCTTTGCAGCAACCGTGATCACGGGCAGACGAGATGTCGAGAGTATGTAGTAATTAGAATAATATTACTTTCGTATAGCTGTAACAATCATACATTCTAATCCTGGTACATACATTTGCACGGTTGGTAGCTCAAAAATTACTATAAATTTCATTATAATAATCAACACGTCTATAATGCATTCAAAAATTATACTTTAAATTAAAATTAAATACATATAAATAATAAAAGGATCGTTTAGATAAGCTAAAATCCAAAGTATGGAACGCAATTGGAATAATTCATTCAGGTAGCAGGTTCGAGTCTAGATCGCGGCATTTACATTAATTTAAACTATGTAATATTAATTGAAGTATAAAATTAAATTAGCATTGCTCTCATAATGAGTATATAAACGTAATAATGACTTGTTTTAATTATAGGTATATACTAGAAGACCCGGCGAACTTCGTACCGCCCTATAATCAAGAAATATCTGTTACATTTTTTTATTTATATTTTTGGAGTTTACCTATTAAAGCCATAAATCTCCGCGTTTTGAAGTGCGACAGAATGATTGACATATTAGTTAGTTGTCAAATTTGATGTCAAAAATAAAAACGTTTGTATCAACAACTACTAATAAATTAAAAATTAATTAAAAAAACATTGTCCAGCGGACAAAATTGTGAATCTAAACCATTCCCAGATCCCCTTGAACACACAAAAAAATTCATGGAAATCGATGCAGTCGTTTGAGAGAAGTTCAGTGACATACACATTCACAGAAGAATTATATATATAAAGATTAATATTACGGTGTAGGTAGTACGTGTTCATGTAAGGTTTGTTTACCAACAAGTTACAACCTGAACCCTCATTCATCTGTTCATCCCGGGTCCCGGGTCCCGGTCCCGGTCCCGGGAGTGGTGTGATCCCGGCCTTGACCTTGTGCGTGATCGCGGGATGTTTACCTCGATTTTGTGAAATCACTAGGGAATATACCTTACTATGGAATCTACTCGATTTTGTTTCAAACTCATCGTAAACTCGATTTTACTTCAATACATCGAATGAATGATGAAATTAAGTACCTATATACAATTATTAATATATAATTGGCAAGTACCAATGTGATTTTTCGGAGTCATATGTACTTTCTAAGAGTATTTAGACATCACTGACAGATGAAGGAAAACATCGTGAGGAAACATGGACTTATATCACAATTATAAGTTTGAAATCACCAACCCGTCTTGAGCGAGCGTGGTGATTAATGCTCAAACCTTCTCCATGTGAGAAAGAGGCCTTGCCTTTGATATGCTGATGACAGAAGTAGAGAAAACATTAGTAGGGATCAACAAATGAGTGATTTACAATTATTGTATTAAATAATATGATTGTATCCAATGTTATGTTGTATCGAATTATACCCGGTCTAGTACCCGGGCGTGTTTAATGAGCGAGCTTTTACAACGAACGACTCTTCATAACCTGATAATGCTTACAAACCGGATAAAACACCCGGTTACAACTGTCACAACTATTTTAACCTTATGGAGATAGTTTGTACGAACCGGGTATAAATAAAATCCATTTAATATGTTTTTCAATATAAGTGTTATTATCGTAAATAATTTGATATCTTTGTTATAGTAGATCGGTAAACAAAACTGACCTACCCTATTTGTAAGGCGCCTCGTCTTAGCCGCGGGAGATCGATCTATTTCTAACTTTGTATCAGATTCGAGTTATAAATGGATTTTCTGTAATACTACTTAATATCTGTAAGGCTCTTGTTATAATATTAATAGATTTTTTATATATATTACTTATTGAATGATTTTTTTCTCAAGTCGTCATTCACCCGGTCGTCAATATATTTGCAGACTATATAAACTATTTGTACAGATTATAAATATTAAATGTCATTGTGACAGATTAAATACTAATGTGTATTAATTGTTTGCAGGTCTTACAAGACATCAAGGTAAATATTGTAGCGCACGTTCTTTAGTCCTATGCTTAGCACATTTTTTTTGTTGCATATTAATTCTATCTTCATTCTATGTCTTTATTTTCTTTCAATGTTAATTATCTACTAACATTTTCGTTTCTAGTACATTACATTTAGTACATTAAGCAGCTAGCTAATACAGCTAGTACAGCTAGTACATTAAGATAATCGTTGATATGTAGTAGGTTATTTTTTTTTTAATTCTCAATCGAAGGCACATTCACATACAGCCTACTTTTCTATAAATGACTAAGACACATCCGTGAAGGTTCGATATGAGGGGAGGGGTTGACGGTCGATGGGTCGACGACCCCGTCCGAAACACCCCCCTCCTACTTATTTATTTATTATTTTGTACTATATCCATACATTGAGATGGAATATTAGATGAAAATTGTTTCATATTTAAGTAGATTCCTTTACTGCGGAAACATTCTGATTAAATTCTGCTACAGAATATACATCTTTTAATTAGTATGTATATTACGTTCGTAATAATAAATAATTTTCATAAATAAATTAAATCTGTTATAGAATATAATATTGCACAATCTAATAACTATCATCTCAATAAAAAAATTGAAATAAAGGAAGTTTTAATTAATTTTTAACTAACACGATTTCATGCATGTGTTAATCTATTAATTAATCTTAGCTCCGTAAACCGTAATATCGGATGAATAATAACCGATAAAAAAAAAATATATATTTAAACTGTTCTCGTTGCCATGAGCACCGCACTAACAGCACGTAGCCCGTATTGTAAGGTGTATGCTAAAAGCTTCTTTAAGTGTTACATGTTAAAGTTCATTCTCGTGTGTCATCCCGTACATCGTCCGTCTCCCTCGGCCTCACAATCGTTCTATTTACAAAACATTCGAGCGAGGTTGCCATTCTTGTTGCGCGCGAGTCGTGACGTCACTTCTTCCGTCCTCCTCTAAGTATTTCTTTCGTAAAAAAGTATTAAATTATTCTTTCGTTATTACAAATTATAAACTTCTTAGTTTTAATAGTTATTATATTTTTATGTAGAGTTTGATTCAGTTCCTCGTTCATAGCTTTGAAGGCAAAGGCCGATATATGAAGTGTAATTTACAATAAATGCAACTGAACTTACAAAGTTTCTTAATAACTTGAAGTTCTAATGAATATTATAAATATTTTTACATCGGAAGCGACATTTCGTTTTGACCTTAAGACCGCGGGCGATTTGATTTGATTTATTAACTTGATTTTACTTCGATGTTATAAAAGAAGTTTAACTTGTTTCTTGTTTGCGTCTCATATATATGAATTATACAGACCAGTTACTTATGTATAATTGTTAATTATACATTACAGGTATAACTGACCTGTAATGATAACATGAGTCAATGCGAAGCGAATGTTTGGATATACGATACGGATGTTTTAGAAATAACCAGCGAATTAACACACTGTTATCAAATAATAATCTATAAACATTAGCTATTGTATTGTATAGTTTAAATAACATTTAGTATGACCAAACGACATAAGATTCAAATAAACATTACAGACCCTTTATGTGGACGCCATTTTGAATTTGACGTTCCATTATACAATTTCCCGCCAAAACTTTTTATTGAAAATTTACTATTTTATTATATTTTAGTAGCTTTATAGTAAATTGTGTTAAACGAAATATGTACGTACAGCGGATATATTCAATTTAATATGATTATAGTTTAGACCAGGAAGGTTGGGAAGTCAATGAGACAACAATGACGTGACCTTCGTGTGGAGTTAACATAACGAAAATAATAAGTATTTGTTATACTTATATATAAAGAGTTAGATATTATATAACAGAATCTTTAATAACGATACATAATGAAGGAAGGCTTGGTTATTCGTTATACTAATAAAGGCTTTAAGTAATATACTTGCCATCTCTAGTTAAATTTGTGAGGTTCAAATTTAAACTTTATTTAATATATCAGTAGGTAATTTGTCGTGTAAAATATTGATGAAGATTCATCTTGTATTTTGACCGTCTGGGCGAGTGTTCCCAGACACGTAAGTGGAAAACTTTTTGGTATATCTTTTGTTATTCTGTCTCGCTTCATTATACGTCGTCAGACAGAGACAGCATCATCTCAACCGTTCATCACGACAATGGTTTGAACTCACACGCAGCATATATATAATATTCAATATAAATACATGCAATAGATTCGTAATTCATGACATATAAAATGTATGAAGTACGGTGAGCCGAAAATCATTAAACATTCATGGAAATATAGCCTCTATTGTTATTGGGAATAAGAACGAATTTGTTTTAAAGTATTAAAATATTGCATATTGTACGGGCGCTCCCGCTTCAGACAGGAATAAATATCGCCCAACGTGGTCTAACACGTGTTTCTTATACAGCTAGTCACGTACATCACAACAACAAATATTATGAACTCTATTGTCTAATATATAAGGTTGTAATTTGTAAGCACCACCAGTGCACCTCCAAGCGTACGAAGTAACCTACATTCTGTATCATAGTTATTGGCGATAAGTCACTTTCATGGTTTCCGAGAATATATGAACGTTATACAAAAAAATTAACGAATAGACATAGACAGTCGTTTGATCGGAAGTGTAATGAATTAATAATATTAATAAGAAAATTTAAGTCTCAATTGATTGTTAAATTCCGAAACGGCTTTACCAAATTTTATATTAGTATTTTTTAATTTTTGTTTCAAATTTTTGGTTTTTTTATAATGTAGTTTTAAAAATACATGCACCCCTAAATATTTATATAGCAAAACGTTTGCCGGGTCGGATAGTTACATATAAAATTTCTAATTCAGTATTTCAAACCGATGTCTTTTTCGTTTCTTGCCTATATATTTTTCATTCGTGCTCCGAACTTTTGTATTCAAGCTTCATATTGGTTAGGTCAACAGAAGCTATTTGATCGATTTTTAGTGTTCCGATAATTGAAAAATCATACAATTATGGTATGGATAATGTTCATATATTACAGAAACATTGGCTTTTAAATAATACCAATTAAAAACGAACATAGCACCAGTTATATAGTTAAGTACATATAAGATATAGAACCATATATATTTAAACTTCTTAATTTAATGTTATAAATAATAATTTAAATGTCAGTAAATTACTGTATGAAAACTGTATGCTGAATCTCTCGCCAATCAAAACATGAACATGTTTATTGTTATTAACGTATTACTAGGATCGACATATACAACAACATATATACATACATGTATACAACAGAAATAGAAGAATTCGTTTTATTAATGTCCGTAAAAAGTAAAAAAAAATCCCTTCCAGTGCTATATATTTAATATACAAAGACTTATCTCTATTTTTCCTGCCCATGTTAAAACATGAGAACTCAACTGCTTTCATTATTTATTTATTTTCTATAACAATTTCAATTTTTTTTTAATAAGTTCTCATATAAAAAATAAACTAAAAAACTGTTGATTTATTCAAATATTTATTTCAATAAAATAAAATAGTTTGATAAACTGACAGGAACTCTCGGATTAAAAATAGTAATATTTATGAAATGATATTTAAGAAAATAATCAAAATTCAAAATCTTAAATTCGAGTCACGTGTTTACAAAAACCATAGATCAAAGAGGTTGCATTGTACATATACAAATACAAACATAGATTGTTCAAATTAAGATTCTATTAGAAACAGTTTGACAGTTGTGACAGGGACAGAGAAATGATCGTGCAATAGTTTGGCGTTGTACGGACATATTGTACTGAATAAACTATGACTTTAGAAATATCTAGAATTAAAAATAAAACCACAACAATAATAGTGTAAAAACAGGCGGGAATTCATTGTTATATTAAAGAATAATGTAGCTATAATCATTAATAATAATTAAGAAATCTTTCTGCGGGATGAAGTATGGAAGTGACTGTTGAAAATGAGTACTAACTCATTTAACATCGCATACCCATTTGTGGAGCAGAAACTCGTTAAATAGATTTAATTAACCTCGAATGTGCTAAATGAAATGACATTTCTACATATTAAAGTAACTCCCTAATTGATATAGACGCGCTAATTAGAGAAGAATCTGCTGGCGTTGAAGAAACTACTTGTCATAACAAAGAAAAGATCACTAGCCTTTTAGTATACACATAAAGCCTATTTAATTTGTACGTATAATGAGAAATTCACCAGACTTTGCTTACTTTTTCATATTCCAATATATCTTTGTTTTAACAACTTTTAATATATATAAAGAATATCTAAAAGGACCATGAATTAAAAAATATATATTCCTCTTTAAAACCATTTTGTGAATAATATTTTTGTAATGAGTCGAGTTTATTGCCCGCGGCGCACTTTGCCTAAAATATGGCCTTTCTCTGCCGGCATATTTACATACATTTGCCGTTTCTGGCTTTCTGTCCTCAGCTATCGGAGATCGGCCGCCTAGATTAGTTATACTTTACCACTGACTCAAATATCATACAATTCAATGTTTTTAAACATATTCAAATAATAAGTCACACCTCAGTCATATCTGGAGAGTGTTCAGTAAAACTTTTATTCTTTTTTATCGCGTCCTATTTCTAGAGGTTGATTAATTGTCTCTTTTTCGGAAACCATAACCTCTGATAACACTATCTAATTGGGACGGGCGTGTCTTTTTCAATTCCACCTTGATTGATAAATATACGATACATAAGGATTATAACATACTTATTTTAAAGTAGAATATACAGTATATTAACCATCAACTTATATTTAAAAAAGTAATGTTTTTTAGATTACTACTACCCGACGTTTCGATTACTTTGCAGCACCCGTGATCACAGACAGACGAAATATGAATTTCACATTTTAAAATTAACAAAATAACGTGTAGTCATCCCAAAATAATAGCTTCACTTAAATGAATACTCGCGAAAATCATAGACCTCATTACATCAAGTCATATTAATTAAATACATTAATAAGTTTGCTGTTAATTTTTTATCATATAATATTATTATATCTGTAACTTCTTAACATCAAATTCACTGTTAGTAAAAAGTACATGATTCTATACATAAACCTCATGTAGTTATAAAATAAACAATGCTAAATTAATTTTGTAAACAAAACAAAATGTGAGTATAGGACTCGAGCTGGTGCCAAAACAACAAAGTTCAAGCAACCTTTATACTGTTGAGAAAACATCTGTACATTATTATTGATATATAATAAAGTTATTACGAGATTTTTTGTAAGTAACCTAATATTAAATTTAACAGAAAATGGGTCTAATTACGACAAATACTATGGACGTGGTCAGTACCAATTGTTTATTAGAAATTATTCAAAGATTTGAATTAGACTTATATTTATCATTCTAATGATCGTCTTAGTTATAATTAAAACGAGAGCCAACCAAAGTTATACATCAAAGTTTACAGGCAAGTTGTGGTTCAACAATGAGGCTTTGTTTGCTTCTAATAGACGGCTTTTGTAAAGGCCTAAATTCAGAGTTATTGTTTTGAGATGCATGTACCTTTAACGGTGGAAAATTATTAATAGTTATATGACATTATAAATACATAATGTCTACGTGACTCTTGACGTTCTCCTTCCTGGTTTATATATATTTCTTATGTAAATAAAATCAATACCAATCAAACAATATTTTGATAAAATCTCAAAGCTAGTGTAAACGTCACGTTTTTCTGATGAAGTTCCTTAGAACAGATAGATAGATAGATAGAATCTTAATATCTAGCAAAAATAACAAACAAAGAAATTTTTTCCATCCCATATAAATCTTTCGAGACTTAATAATAGCAAAGCATTCATAGTAAATTCTAATATTTGTATTGTTAAGTGGATTTAAATTGCATTATAACAAAGAAAGAGTCTGTAACGGAATCCGATGTAATGGAATAAGACTAGGTAAATGAAGTCAGTGTAGCGGCAAACATTGAGATCCACAGCTGATGCACGGACCAATGGAACGAATTAATATTAATACACACACTAACAGATAATTTTTTATCACTATTATATTTCTATTTAAACGAAAAACTTCTATCTTTTAGTCGTACACACAAAAAATTAATAATTTACTCTTGTGTAATATGATACTTTTTTAGGTAAAATCCCAAGAAATCGAGTATAATGCTTGACGCCATATAGATTTTAAAGTAATATTGACCGACAGACATCCCAAAATTTCGATTCAATTTGTTTTCAATACAGAATTAACATAATGAACACTCGTCCGACCGTCAAGGCGTTCTTCTTGTTTTGTTAAACTTAATTTGCGTTAAATTTTATTTCATATAACAATGGAACGTTTGAAATATACGTCGAAAACAACGGCGCAAGCTTTTGATTAATAAATAAATACTTGTAATTTGTTGCATTCCAAGTGTATTCAACTTTTATACGATGTATAGTAAATATCGTAATAACATTAATGACACCCAATGAGTGTTATTATATAGCATAATACAAAATAATGACGAACAACTCGTAATAACCAATTTTCTATTTCAATTTGAAATTACGCAGCGACCGTGTATGGTTCTGAACCATTGGCTGGTCGAGAATATCGGGAAACTGTAGTTGTAGTTGTAAACTGTTAAACGTTCGAATTATTCTATTATAACTTGTATTTCTAAACACGTTTCATAAATAGAATATTACGGAAATCGTTATTTCTTTGAAATTATATTTCGACTTTTGTAACACAATTTAAACTTTTAATTTAAATATTAACTTTATGACTGAAGGTTACAAAAATAATTGAACCTTCACGCTAAGTTATATAAAATAAAATCGATTTTAATTTTCATGTTATGTATGCATCGTATATCATATTCTATATATTCGAACACGGACGGGTGACAAAATAAATGTGGTAATAGTTATCTGATAATCGGAGGTTTATTCCAGAGTTATCGTGGTCGCAAGCCTCTAGGAGCGGTGGTTCCTGCGGGTTTGAGTCCCGGTGTGCCTTCATCCGCGTCCCCCGGGCCCGCCCCGGCAGCCCCCAGCCCTGCACCAGCCACCACGCCCGCTATGAAGCAAGACCATCCTAGCCAACCCATGGTGAGTGATATGGAAATACTACCACTATTATAATTTACACAACAATTCATAACTTAAATGAAGATCACTATGGCAATTTCTCGGGTTTTATTGATGTATTGATAGGGAATGCTCTTCGACTTAAAATATTCTCTCCTCTTTCTCATTTCTTTTTGAATAATGCCGAAGACAAAATCATGGACAGATATAGTGACAATTATTACACGATTTTTAATAGTATATAAAATAACTGATGCTGCTTTCTTACCTCCAGGGTCTTAATAATATATTTATTGAAGCGAACAAGTCGTTTGCATCATAATACGATCGTATATAAAATGTAAATTGACAAACATGCACACTATGTACAGTGAATTTGAATATAAGTCTGACCGCAAACTCTTCTCCTAAATAAAACATTCTCATGCCTTTCAAAGAGCTTTCCTAATTTGTTTATCTTTACCCTATTATGTTGTACCAAATAAAACATTGTCGGAGCCGGTTTACAAAATGAAAATCAACTTTGTGCTTCTTAATTGTGTTTGAGGCTTTATACAATTCATTTTAATGTACGACCTCGAATGAGATTTTAATAAATTATTGCACATAACAAAAACTCATTATCAAATTTATTATAAATTGAAAAATAATCGTATTTTCATATAATCCTTTAAATATTTTCATGATTTCTATCAAATTATATTATTGAATATAATTGAAACGATCCACTTATATTACCAAAACTAGTTCACCTTGTTAATATTATATTCGATATTCTTTTCACCATATGTTGAATTTTAAATAAAGTTCCTAGAATCGTGAAATAAATACTTGAAAATAATTGAATAATAAAAATCGGATAAAAAGTATTTACTTTAAATTCAGGAAATCCACAGTTCAACAATTCTCATAATCAAAAGCAAAACTTTATTTTTCATTGCCATTATTAAGACGAAAATGTTTTTTTTTATCTCTATAATTTAAATCAATCATGACACAGAATATATTTCTCGTAATAAAAGAGAGCTTTATAATATTTCACAAGGAAAAGTTTCCTTGAAATAAGAATAACACTTTTAAAAGAAAATTAAACTCTTCTTACGTAAACATCTGTTAAGTTAGTTCTTTGAAAAATATCTGGATATAACTCAACGGACTGTGTATAAATAAACTGGGGAAGTTGTGTACTTTATATATTATAATCGGATTTATAAGTATCTGTTGATATTCGACATAAATATTAAAAAATACTTAGCAATATAATTTCTTCGAAAATGTACATTCTTGACGAATGTGTTCCCTGTTTAATAACAATTCACTGTATTCAGGGAAAGATGAGGCTTTTATCAATTCATTTAATAAATGGAGCGTGAAGCATGGCCATCATATCATCGAGTAGCTATGGGCAAAAAATTACTTACATCATATTACAAAAGAACTAATTCTCTTGTACAATGAGGGATCGCTATGAACCAAATATTGTTAAGAAATAGCTCATAAAACCGACTTTCAAATGAAAAAAATGCAACAAAATTGATTGATCCGTTTGATAACTATGATGCCACAAACAGACACACAAAAAAAATTAATACACGCCTAAAAAAGCGAAAAAATCTGAGGACGCAAAAGCGTCGTCAGATAAAAACAACAACTGAGTATTAATAAAATAAAAATACGTATATAGTATTACTAGGAAGCTTCCATATTGTTTATAAAAATATTTATTTGTTATCCTAATTGTAAATTATTTGATTGTTACCGACCACGGCGGGAAGGTTCGTTGACCTCGCGTTTGGTGTTGTGCCTCTATCATGTAATTAGGTAAACAATGACCGAGGTCCTGTCTCGACCTTGACACACTTACCTATTGCTGTTCGCGGTATTATCAGCTTTGTAGTTTATATATTGTATACATTGTAACCATCGCGTCACAGTTAATACGTTAGTTTTTACAATATCCTTTTTCAATCTGAAAGTCATTCGTTTACTAATTTGAAAGTCTATTTCTAATTGAAATCTCTATAAATACACTTCTTTCAAGATATACTAAGATAAGAATATCGAATAACATTATCAGGGCTCATTTCCCAGTTTTTATCAGCTCAGTAATGTTCTTCAATTTAATAAAATTTTAATTTCTTTTCCAGGCTCCAATGCCATTTTACGCGGGTGACCCGAACAGATTTCCTACGACGTGGCAAACAGATCCGTCGCAAGGTATACAATTTTTTATCAAATATTTAACATATGAATATAATGGACTATGATAATAAATTGTGATAATTGACAATACACTTGCTTACATTTCAGGTTGGCAAAACCAATTTATTCAGCAGCTGCCAACGCAGACGGGTCAAACAACTCTAGACTACCAGGGCAATCACACTCCTTACGCCACCTCCCCCCACTATCAGACCAACACAACGTACACCGTCCAAAATGTTGCAACTACATTCGATGTCACAAACAACACGTATTATCAAACTGGCGTTCAAGCTGTTCCAGCACAACGTCCTCCGTCAAATCGCGGTGCTTATACTCCGGTGCCATCTCCCCGGGCTCCACACTACACGACAGAGTATCAACAACAATACGCACAGCAGGCCCCGACTACATGCGTCACTACAGGGAACGACTCCAGACCCGCTTCAGCCGCATCCTATCAGAGTTCTGTTCCAACATCATCTGCGTCGGTATACACTGTGAGTCAACAGAGTTACGACCGCAACGAATACACCTCGGAGCATAACGACGATTACAACAACGGGGAAAACAGCACGGGGGAAGCGAGTAATGATGGTGAGAGGCAAGAACAAAATGCGTCGAACAATCAGCATTCGGGAAACGCCGAGCCTGGATACCTGCAGGGGAGCAACGGTCCGCGAGCTTCACTCGATTGTAATGGGTATCCGGGCAGCTATGGGAGCGGGCAGTACACGGATAATGGACAGACGCAGAACCAAAACGACTGGCAACAACGCCAGTGGCAACATAACCAAAGAATCCAGAATCAACAGTTACAGAATCAACAGCAGTTACAAAATCAACAACAACTACAAAATCAACAACAATTACAAAATCAGCAACAAATGCAAAATCAGCAACAAATGCAAAATCAGCAGCAGTTGCAGAATCAACAGCAGCAACAGCAGTTACAAAACCAACAGCAACTTCAAAATCAGCAACAAATACAAAACCAACAGCAAATTCAAAACCAGCAACAAATGCAAAATCAACAGCAAATGCAAAATCAACAGCAAATGCAAAACCAACAACAAATTAATCATATGCAAAACCAACAACAACAAATGCAAAATCAACAACAACAGTTGCAAAATCAAATACAAAATCATCAAAATCAACAAATGCAACAGCATAGACAAGATGAATCAGAGCAACAAATGTTCTCACAATCGGACAGGGTCAATTTAAATTCGCGACTTAAAACAATGATTTTAAATAAACAAAGTCATATAAGAGACGGAACAAACACTCCGCCAGATAAAGGCGATCCTGGAGAGGGACCTCCTCGTGTATTAGATGATAGAAAAACCGGTGTCAACGACGATAGAAATACCACCGGTCATTTTTTATCGTATAGCCACCATCTCCGAGGTAATTACCACATAGGTGAACAGGGTTACCCTGTCACTGGTAATTATTCACAAAATACTCAGGCCTACGGCTTGAGTGATATCGGAGGTGGTGGCCACCATGTATGGGAGGGGGGAACGCAAGTTCCGAAAGGTTATAAACAAACTATATTGAAGAACGTATCTAAAACTCCGCAAAATTTACCATCACACGCTAACGTTATAGGACAATACAGTACATATACGAACACGCCTTATGAAGCACAAAAATATGCAGACGCGTACGGTAGTGAGAATTTAAATTATAGTCAGCAAGATAACAAAGATTTCCATTCGAAGATGCTTATTGGACCAGTATCAGATATCAACCAACAAACCTGCTCTACGACTCAAAAAATCAATACACAAAAAGGAACTTACGAAAGAGAGACCAGTGATATTAAGTATAGGCAAGCAGCGGCGCCTTTAGTTCCTAAGTTAGAAATACCTGACAATTACCAATATGGAAAGGAAACTATTAAGAGTGAACCACAACGATTGATGAATCAAAACACATTTAGTAAGCAAATGGAAGGGCTAAAACATCTGCCGTATCCTAATGGGGCGCAGAACATGGCGTTACCACCAATATCTACAATAAAACATGAAAATGTAAATCATAAACCTCAAGTCTATCAAAACTTCCAAAATATATCTTACGAAAGAAAAATTAATACAAGCGAAGACTTCGCTCAGATTCCAAGGATGCAAGAAAATATGGCTTTCCAAAAGTTCAGTAAAAATTTTGAATCAAAATTTAATCGGGGTGTAGACTGTCGAAGCAACTCTGGAAAAAATGTAGACGTTGATTTAAAACCTCCATATTATATAGAACAAATAAAGTCCGAACATTCACCACCTGGACATAAAATATATAAGAATTTGCTCTATGGACCTCCACGGAGTGAGCCTTATATGTTCGCAGGAGAGGGAGGGCCTAGTGCCTTTAGAAATGAAATAGGATATGCGTGTTGTAGACAAGGCTCTGTGAAGAAACCTCCGCCAGAACATCTAAGGGACGGAGCTTGTGCGGGTCTACAAACTAAAGACGAAATACTAGAAGAAGATCCAGACAGTACAGATAATGCGAAAACTCCATCGAAACCTGGGACTCCTGTATCTGAGCTCTTCCCAAAAACAACGAAAGAAAACCAATTTAATTACTCAAAGGAATATTTAGACAACTTAGAAAGATTAAAAAACAATTCCAGAACAGAAGTACCAGACTGTAATTGTTTTCCAGCTGACAAAAATCCTCCCGAGCCTGGAAGCTACTATACTCACCTCGGTAAATATCTTTATTAATCTAACTCTTTAATATTGTTTCAATTTTGAACGATACAATAACAAAAAAATCTATTATTTCTTGAAGATTTTAATAACTGTCACATATTCTTAAGCTAAGCACTATTTATTTCTAGGAGCTGCTTCGTCTCTGTGTGAGCTAAGGAAAGATCTGGAAGCAAGAACAGGGTTATCTGGTAAAGAGTTGCGCATCGAAAAAGTTTGTTACACAGGAAAAGAAGGCAAAACGGCCCAGGGTTGCCCGATGGCTAAGTGGGTGAGTGTATGGATCGCCAAGTCACTTATATTTTCATGAGTTCATATTAAATATAAGGATATTTAATAACTAATTAATTAATTACTTCAGATAATACGGCGCTCCAGCTATACTGAAAAAGTACTAGCCGTAGTTAAGTTCCGAAATGGTCACAAATGCTCCACATCCTGGATAGTAGTTTGCTTAGTGGCTTGGGAAGGAATACCGCAGTCTGAAGCTGATTTAGATTACACGCTTTTGTCTCACAAACTGAATAGATATGGCTTACCGACCACACGTCGGTGTGCTACTAATGAAAACCGAACCTGTGCTTGTCAAGGTAAGTATTGTGAGAATATTCTTGTAGTGTTACGTGTTTGGACTATTTTATATTGTCATATAAACATTGGTTATCGTTTAAGGGCTCGACCCGGAGACGTGCGGCGCTTCCTACAGTTTCGGCTGCTCCTGGTCCATGTATTACAATGGATGTAAATACGCCCGTTCAAAAACTGTCCGTAAGTTTCGACTTTCGGTCAAAACAGAGGAGAGTGAAATCGAAGAACGCATGCACGTCCTGGCGACCCTACTCAGCCCGCTGTATATGAACCTTGCGCCAAAGTCATTTGAGAATCAGTGTCAATTCGAGAAAGAAGCGTCGGATTGCCGTTTGGGCTTTAAGCCTGGAAGACCGTTTTCAGGTAAAAACAATATGTCAAAAACAACATTCAACAGCTAGAAAACCTATAAAATATTAAACTTTTTATCATATAATAAAATACCTAAATTAGTTTTACGTTTTCAGGGGTAACGGCGTGTATAGACTTTTGCGCTCACGCACACAGAGATCTTCATAACATGAACAACGGCTGCACAGCGGTAGTGACACTCGCCAAACACAGAGCACTCACGAAACCTAATGATGAACAGTTACATGTACTTCCCTTGTATGTTTTGGATACCACAGATGAATTTGGGTCTAAAGAAGGCCAGGAAGAAAAAATAGCCAGCGGTGCTTTGGAAATTTTGGACAAGTGAGTGGTGATGTACAAAATTTTATGAATATTTTTCTTATATTAATATTCCTATTTATTTATATTGAAAAATCAGAATGTTAATTATTTCATTTACAATTACAGATACCCTATGGAGGTCCGCGTTAGATCCGTCCCACTGCAGCCATGTCGACGGCATGGAAAGAAGAGAAAAGACGAAGAAAATTCTGAATCAAACAACTCATCAACAAACACTCCACAACAAAGTCCAAATAATCAGAAGAAATCACAATGTCCCACGCCGACGCCGAAGACTCCTCAACCTAATGAGATTAGAAACAACGCGAGTCCACGCAGTCAGAGCAGCGCGTCACCACGAGCCACCACACCCGCTATGAACCTGCAAGTTAACACGAACTTCACGAACACTCCACACTATAACTCCGCATTCGTCAATCCAAATGTACACAATTCCAGTCTCATGAATCCAAACTTAGCAAACCCTGCATTACTGGACATGGCCACGATGATCGATAATTTCACTGACGCTCAGTTACAGAGCAATCAGATCTCAAGCACTGTATTGGATTCTCCGTACAACCCTTACGACCAAAGCTATAGTTTACACAATCAAAACGCTATGTACAATCCGCACAACGTTGCTCCTGTACTGGATAATAATTGCCAAAATCAAAATCCTAATCAGTTGCCAAGTTTCACTCCAAATTTACAAAAGAGAGACCAATGTAATCCGCAGAATATAAATCAAGTGAATGCGGCCCCACAACAGTGGCCTGACTTCGATAATTCAGAAATGTTCAGTAATGTTGTGAAAGAAGATCCAGATTCTACAACTGCTAATTTAAACGCTGCTAATAATTTTAGTCCTGATTCAAATCGGAGTGAAAGCAATTCAGATAATATATCCAGAAGTAATACTGAATCCGAAAAGCTTAATGCTCTAGGAGATATGACACAGAAGTTACCAGAATTTGACATGCCTAGTTCACCGAGGTTATCTGAAATATCACAAAAAACCCAACGCACTCCTGAATCACCGGTGCCTTCACAAGAACTCAAATCTCCTAATCATGACTCGGTTAATTCAGACGTTCGACGAACTGTATGGAGATCTCCAGACACGAAAAGTTGGGACCCCACGAAACCTAGAGACCAAATAACGGAAAATGAGAATGCATTGTTTAGAGTGCCTAAAGCGAGGCCCCCATCGCGATCACAATATGTGAATCCTTCTGACGGCATGGAGAACTCGACGTTTCTTAAACCGTACCCTCCATCGGAACGATCGTACCACAACCAAGGTTATGAAAACAGAAGCCTCCAAGAGAATAGAATGAACGCGCTACCGCCGACATCACAACAACAAATGAACTACACCATCAACCATGAAGACTCTCAGAATATAACAACGAACAAACCCGCGCCAGAGTTCACAGGAAACAACTTTCAACCGATCAACCAAACTACATACAGCAATCAAGTGCCGGTACAAGGATATGGAAACTATCCCACGATGACCAACGCTTACTCTTTTACACCAAACCCCTATGGACATTTTAACCCGTATGAAAACTCTTATAACGACTACAATAGCATAGCTTATTATAATGCAGAAAAATACAAAAGAGAAGAATTAATACGAAATTCCCACTGTTATAATTCATACGGATATCAATACAATCCAAATTTTGCAGCAAATTTCTACCAGAATCCAAATCCCAATTGGTGTCAGTCTTCGCCCAACTGGTGCTTGTACCCGCCACCGTTTTCCATTCCATATCCACCGGAACCACCAAAAGCTGAACCGATCGGTGAAGTGACTGGAATAAACGACAATCTGGAGTGTTTTAAAGACAGTCAAATGGGAGGAGTCGCTATCGCTTTAGGTCACGGGAGTGTACTGTTCGAATGTGCGAAACACGAGATGCACTCCACCACCGCGGTGAAGAGTCCGAACAGAGTGAACCCAACGAGAATATCACTCGTGTTTTACCAACACAGGAATCTGAATCGTCCAAAACATGGCCTTGAAGAGTGGGAAGAAAAAATGAGGTTAAAAAAGTTAGGCTTAAGCCCGTCCACACCGGGGACTAATGGAGCCAGCTCGAACACCGCATCCCCGGCCTCCACCGGCCTGGAGCAGAGGCAGACACCGGCAGAAAAGTGGAAGAACAACGAGAACACGATCCCTGGAGGGTACAGGTCGCTCTCGGCGCTCGTGGAGGCGACCACCGCGGCCAGGAGGAGTCGCCAGGTCATGTTACGAACAGACACACAAACAACAATGTCGTGGACCACTCTGTTCCCCATGCACCCGTGCACCGTGACCGGCCCCTACCAGGAGTCCGCCACCTGACACAAGCCGGGCTCGACGCCCCAAACAGCTTCTAAGCGACACTGAGCTCAGTTCCGCAGCGCTCCAAAGGTTTCCGACCCCTTCGATCTAAGTCTTCTCGAATTATTTGCTTTCCAAAGTTGTCTTAGTTCCTGGATGTGTAATAGCTAAGGTCGATATATTTACTGGTCCAATATTCGTCGAGATTCCTCGTTGTATTTCCATTGGAATTGACTACCGTATAACATATATTTTTCAATGTAAGCCGAGTGAGTTTTCTATCAAAGATATAATTTAAGTTTATATTTTAGTAGTGTTAATCGCATTTCTGCTAGTCTTACGTTACAATGTTAGTATGGAAGGTGTTTGTTAGACAGTAACTGTAACCGTAGAGTTATTTGTATAATGTTATCGTGTTTAGTTCAACCGTCAACTCGAAAGTTTCGTATAAGTTTATATATTTTTTACAAGCTGTATTTTAAATGACACTAGCGTACGTTCGTCTCCATGTTTTTACATATGTTTTTCTAATTAAGCGCATAGTCTCTATACGCGATGCAATGATCTCATAAGATACTAACTACAATTTATCTTTATATTCATTATTCAGAGCGAAAGTACAAAAGACAACAATGATGTGCGGAGCGCGGAGACGTTCTCATTGTATGTATACACGTGTTGTACCTTTGTCTGTCTCTTAGGTAACTTATATTTTAATAATTTGAACATCATTCCTCTGCCTATATATTTTTGTTTATTTTAGTACGCACGTCGTCGTGGTGTAATCAGTAGTGGACTCTGTATTCACTCGCTGCAGCCACGGACGTGTTTTTATATTAGGTTAAGAGGTGTGTATTTTTAACTTTTAGAATATTTAACTTATTTATTACGTGAACCATTATGAAATCATTTTCTTTCTAATAATTTAGTGTTATCGTAGCTATTAATATTTAATATATGCATTTGCTTTATGTCTTGACATTATATTATTGGCAGTTGTTTTATAAATTTCATGAGCCTTCTTTAATTTCTACTTGAGTGCCTGTGTCTGAGACGTACTATTGTAAGGTTGAAGTAATTTTTGAACTATTAAAATATGTGACCTCTAGTGATCGAGTCGACATCTATTAATTGTTCTGCTGATTTAGATATAACGAAAAAAATAAAAATACGTTCATACATTTAAAAAAGATTAATAAATTTATAAGATAGAGTATTGCAAAAAAAAAAAAACTTCAGGCGCTTGGAAAGATTATAAAGTAGGCATATTATTGAAAATGAATGATAACATACTGATGAATAGTTATTAATATATAATTAGATGTTAAGGAAAAGTTTGTTTTAAAGATTAAACTATTGATATAGTTTATATTTTTTACGTGTACGTATTTATTGAATGGTAAATTTATTGGAACGTGAAATTATTTATAGGTTTAAAAAAAAAAAAAACAAGTTTTGAGAACAAAACTTATAAAAACTAAGCAATAATAGACACCGGGGTCTATGTATGTTGTAATGTAGGGTGAGTGTAGGAGCGGTGTGAAAACAATTAACGAATGGTGCGACGTCGTCTGTCTTATGGTAACGCTTGGCATACAGCTCTTGCCTAAATTATTAAGAAATTATTTTAGTTACTCAAGCCTCCGTCTTGCCAATGTGTTGTCGGGCTCATGTTGATGCATTGTGTGACGAGACATATCAAAACAGAAACACACAGAACAGAGAATTTAAATATTTTTTTCGTAATAATGAAATATCAATATTCCGAAAGATTACACAGTGCGTCATCAAATTATACCAAAATGTTTTCTTTTTAATTTAAGATAATGGAATATTTTAATGTATCAGCATCATATATTTTTAATGTAACGAGATTTAAAAGTGAGCACAAAAATTTGTTAAAACACTTTGAAATATTTTTTACAAGATTATTGATATTATGTATGAATGCAATCGTGGTTGTAACTGATCTAGTAGATGTAAAGTCCTTATGAAATTTGAATTTTTTGTATGAAATTATAAAATCATTTAGGCCACACTAGATACCTGTGATATATACCATTAACTCACGTGTGCTTGACTGCTTGTATGTGTCTTTCTTCAGTGTGTTGTGAGTCGACACAACGTTAAACTGGCGCCACGCGATTTGAATTTAGAACTTGTGTCGATTAAAAAAAAAAGAAAGCCGCGAACCAAAAACGACCAGTATTTTTTTAACAGTAACCAAAAAGTTTTGTTTAATAAGCATGGTAGAATTATCGAGGGTTGTTTTAATGGACGCGCTCGTCGCGTTACGACAGACATTATTGTGTAATAATATTTTGTCTTCTGCCAAAACAAGAGAATGTGTCATGTAAATAGAACTACCATTATTTATTAATATAATAATTTAATAAAACGCACTGCTATGTTTTATTTATACCTTCCCAGGACTGCAAAGATACGAACTAACTCATTTTAAATATGTATTTATATTTTTTTAATAGTCTCTACTTTCACTTAATATTAGTATGTCATTAACGTTTGGAATTTTAATTGACAAACCAAAATATTTATATTTTTAATTTAATTCATATTAATTTGTGTCACAACTTTTCTAACGGAATTTTTAAATATGAATTACATTTGACTTATTTGGGTTTGAAAAAAAACACACAATTTTGATCAACATGTATATTATAATAAAGAGCAAAAGCCCCGTCATATAAACATATAAAAATAAAATAAAAATATCACTTATATTATACATAAAATGTACGTTTTATATGAATTTAAAAAATATTTTTATTATTAATAATAATCAAGTTGATCTGTTTTTAAACTTCTCATTGTTTATATATTTGGTAACTGCATATTTGTATGTTGTTTTAATTAATATATAAATTTATTGTGTCATTAAAGACGTAGATAATAAAATATATTTTATAATCACTTTTAATTTCAATTTCTTTTTTCACTTTTATCTTTCAAATATTATCTTAATTGGAATGTATCAAGTCGTTATTGTAATAATTCTTTGACGTAGCCTTCAGTTATCTTTATAGTAAAAAAAATAATACAAAAAGTACAAAAAAAAGTTTCAATACAAAATTCACTTAGTCTATACAATAATCTATAGGCTGAGTAATAAAATCGATAAATGAGCCAATCTCATGATAGCTATGTAAATATTCATAGAGGTCTATCTTCTTGGATGTATTTGTTTCTTATGTATGTATATGTGTGTGTGTGTATGACGTGTGTCTGTCTCTGTATGTCTGTGTGTTTATGTGTGTGTGTGTGTGTGTGTGTGTGTGTGTGTCACGGTAACATGGCCACTATGATGTTAGTGAGCGCGGTCCGCGCGTCACAGTTAGGGAAGGCTTCAAGCACCTCCCTGGCGCGCGTCACGTGTTCGTTCTGGAGATGTTTCGTCTGCTCGATACCGCTGCCTTCTAGGACGGCCTGGTACAGCTGGAAATGGGACACGATATATTAACATATATATGAGATAAAGTATAAGAGCCCACTATAAGACTTGGTATATTCTAATAAACGCTGAACAAGAAACTCGGAACTCCTGACTCTCTTCGTGGAGCTCTTAACATAGAGAAGTATCTTTATAATACACAACAGTCGGTTGACGCTACATTAAATATATTTAATAATTATTATAATAAATAATTATAATTATCTTCTTACATTGATGTATGAAAATCAGCGAAATCATCTCAAAAATGCAGTCCAATACACATTAATTACTTCCAATAAACTGTTTACTAAGGTTGTTGTGTCGTCATATGAAGGTAGTTGTATAGTCAGTGGTAGCCTAGTGGTTAAGGCCCGCCTATCATGGCACGAGGGCGCGGGTTCGATCCTGGCCCGAGCAAGTACTAATGTGATTTTTCCAAATCATATGTACTTTCTAAGACTATTTAGATATCACTGATTAATGCCTTCCCAAAGAGGGTTGATGTCAGGCAGGCGGCCGGTCGTAAAAACAATTAGCCAAAACTATTCACAACATGTAAGGCAGACTGGCTTTAGCTGGGAAATTGTCAGGTAGAAGATGAAGAAGGTAATTACTCACACTCCAGGGTGGCTGGAAGAGATCTCTCATAGAGATAAGCTTTCCTATGTATAACTTTGTTTCTTTGTTATTCTTTTTTCTGTGTTACTTGTTGTACATGAATAAATAAAATAAGGTAATTGTATCGTGCTATTAATGTAGTTATATTACTAACCGCGTGATAGTCCACGTCGTGAACGCTCCTTTTCCCAGCCTCTATATACCGGTACAGCTCGGGACGTTCTTCAAGTGTGAAGGCGAGGGGAGCTCCTACGAGTGAGAAGTACGCGGGCTCTGGACCAGAAAACGCCTCTAAGTCAAGGAACGCCTGCCACGCTAACGCTAGGTGACAACCGAATAGATAACCCTGGGAGAAATATAATATTGGTTACATATTTTGATATAAGGAATCGAATAGTCATTTTATGTTGGTGATTTGAAATCGAATTGATTGTATAGTCGGGGATGGTGGAAATCTAACTAGCATTGGATAATTCCGTACCTATTGCAGAAAAGATTAGATTGGGAAGATTAGAACTTAGTAATTTTCAAAATTTTTAAGGCATTTTTTCATACCCACTTTTTAACTCATAAGTAACAGTGAGAAAATTATACTTTCTTTGTAAATCTGCTTCTAATGAAAATACTGAATAACCAATTATTCCTGATTGCACTGCATTATACCTGACGATATTTCCTGGTATTATTTCTGTTGTATGTGTGTATGTATGCATGTGTATGTATGTGTGTATGTATGTACCTGTGTCTGCAGCCCCTGTCCATGTCCAGCCAGCTTGAGCGCGGCCGAACAGCTCTTCCCAAGCAGTGCTCCGGCCGCTAGTACATGCCTCGCGCTCCACTCTCTGCCCATACATCCTGACACACCAGACATAGGCAGCGGAGACAGAATACAGTCCCACTCTATATAAAAACATATTATGAACGATCTCCATCAATTCGGATAGACAAAAAGGATCTTTATTGCATTGATTTAAAGCACATTTTTATTTGTAATAGTTATTTTCGAAGTTACGTTAATTATAAATAAATCACAAAGAGTATTTACTGTATAAAATGTTGCAAGTTTTTATTAGTGATACTTGTCTTGTTTATGTCAAATCTTCTATATATATAAAAATGGATTGCTGTTCCTTAGTCTCGCTAAAACTCGAGAACAGCTGAACGGATTTATCTTATCTTAGTCTTGAAATGTTCGTGGAGGTTCAGGGAAGGTATAAAAGCTGAAAGAATTGATTCATTACTGGGAAAACCATAAAACAGCCCTTTTCTATTTCCCATACAAACGTTTTTTTTGACATTAGATTTGACAACTAACTATGTCAATCATTCTGTCGCATTTCAAAACACGGAGATTTATGGCTTACAGATAAACTCCAAAAATATAAATAAAAAAACGTAATAGATATTTCTTGATTATAGGGCGATACGAAGTTCGCCAGGTCTTCTAGTTTATTATAAATAAATCATCTTGTTCACCCCGTTTTATGTCAGAAATATATTTAAATTTATACAATTGTTGTGATCCGAAACAACCGTTAATACATCGATTTATTTAAATTATCCTTCAAACATTTATTTTTAGAATAAATATTATTTTTGCTTCAAGACCTTCACTACATATAACAATACCTTAAATTGAAATATTAATAGGACTTAAATACAAGCTATATTCGTGTTTGATTAAAAATTATCTGAATTGATCTTTACCGAAATATTCGGTTTATCTCAAATATAACTAACTTACCCAGTGGGTTCCGTATATTATTTTAATATTCAATCCATATTGTACACAAATAGGTTTTTTATTTAACCTCAAGGAAACTTCCTCAAGTCACAGGAAAATCCCTAAATCTGTGATGACTTATTTATTCGAATCATTTACATTTCATTGTAAATTCAATTGTTTAACATTAATTACGACGTTCGTGTATAAAACAAGTTTCATAATTAAATTTGTATGTATCGTATAAAATTATTTTAATTCGATGCAACCCACAAACGTATACAGACGTAGATTCAAATGGGAAAAGAGAAATTTTCATTACCATAGTCACGATCACATACGACTTACTTCTCTCAATACAAAGTGTGTTTGTTGAGGCACTAGACTAATCTTTATGTTACAATCATCATATGATTTTGATTTTAACTGAATAATGTTGTTAAACAACAGAAGACATCTGATCATTTATAATGAAATCTAAGACTTGCGAGTATTCATTTAAATGAAATTAATATTTTCGAATTACTACGTATTATTTTAATATACATACTCCCGACGTTTCTGTTACTTTGCAGAACACATCTCGTCTGCCCGTCATCACGGTTGCTGCAAAGTAGCTTAAACGTCGGGAGTATGTAGTTTAAAATAATAAAATAATTCGTAGTAATCCGAAAAATATTAGTTTCATTTAGCTGGTCTGTTGACCAGTTCATGTATTGGGGGCAACGTAACAGTTTGGAGGTCCGTTGCTTTTTACGGATACCGGTTTATACGGCGGTGGAGGCGAAAGTTGTGTCCTTTTAGATAGCTTTAAAAAACACTCATACTTGCCAAAAGTAACGGACAATCAGACACAATAAGTTTTTGTTAAAAATTAATAACCAATAAACGAAATTAATATCTAATTTTCAATCACAAGAAAAAATACGACTGTAGTAAAATTCTTAAAGCAATAAGAAGCTGTATTAAATGACAATACCATATAAGTACTGTCCAAGAAAAACCAGTCTGGTACAATAATTTTATCCATTGTCCAAGGTATTTCATATTAAACATGAACCTGCTAGCGTCGTCACTACATGCTAATGGAGCTGTTCTATCTGATATAACGTATTCAATACACGCGGTTCCTTAACATACAATGGAAAAACAAAAATAAGGCCATCGAAAACCTTTGGCATAGTTACTATATGATGGCTGGTTTTGTTTCAATATAATCGTTATGAATATAGTTTGATTTGTTCTCTATATATTTGTATTAGAATTATCAGTTTGACTATTTTAAGTTTTAAGATTGTACCTTCTATATACCTGTCTTCTAAGTCATAAAATATGTAGTAAAAAAGCTTTTGCTGTTTCTTTATTCACTTGAATGTGAGCTTAAATAAATTAACTTATGTTTTGTTGCAATCAAATTATCTTACTCTATAATACTTTACCGTTACAAGATACATTAGAATCTTACCAAATTCATTTTACTGAGTTATATTATTTATTTTACTATCAAAATCTTTTGTGTTTTTAATTTTTTATTATTATTATCATTTGCTTTTACTAACATTAGTTATAAGGTTGACATGTATTACTAATATTTAAATATGGACTATGTCTGAGATAAAAATAAATTATTATTATTATTTAATATATTATAAGTCTAAACATTCACACACACACACACACAATAATAAAGCCTATATGTATGTTGGTTCCATAATTCCCCCCTGAGGAACTCCTATCTCAAACTAAACAACTTGAGTTCAAACAATTTATATAACAAAATATATAAGAAAATGTCAGTGGGTTCGTTTCTCAGCTAAGTGTGATCTTAGCACTGTTGACGGATGCGAGCACGTCTCATTAATTACTGAGCAAATAGGATTAACCTATTTGCATAGTGATTTAAATACGGAGAGGTCAACACTGACTGGTTTTAAGTATTCCAATCAAGTTAAATTTGGATATGAATTTTTTGTATGGAATACTGTTAAAAATGATTATTTGGCTTATATATTTACGATTAAAAACGTATCAAGTCTGATTGTAAGATGTAAAGCAAAATGTTTTATGAAGGTAAGGTTTTTATGTGTTAAAGAAATATTTTTTCTCTCTCTCTCTCTCTCTCTTGCTCTCTGTATAGTCGTCTCTCTCTCACCTGAAGCCTCTTCTCTCTGGTGTAGAGGCAGTGGTCGTGATGGCAGCGGGTTGTTCTGTTCATCTCTCTCTCCTAAGAATTCAGCCTCCGCCAAATCTCGGACAGCTGAAGACATAAGCTCCACCAATTCTTGGTTCCTGGATAGAATAAACGAAATATAAATTTAACATATTACTTCATATAAAAATTAATTAAATTTTCTCTATAAATTCCTTTGTAAATCTCGTTTCCGAGACATTACACGTCGACGTTTTAATCGCATATAATCTATTATTCAGACGGGCGTTATAAATAATTTATAACTGATGCCATCTTAAATAGACGAAGGAAGCGTAAATAAACATAATTAATACATACATATGTAATAATACAATATATATGCATTCCATACACTTGATACATCTCGTCGTTCATAGGGACAACCGGTTCGCGAAACTTACTTGTTCGGTTACTTTCGACTATTTCATACAAACAAAAAGAATCCTAATGCTTTTAATATTTGAGTTCAAATATCAAAATCAAAAAGTTTAAATAAAAAAAAATCTCGTAGAATGAATCCCGTTACAATTAATTAACGTGTGTGAATTTGAGAACGCGCTACCATTGACCTTAGGACCTACCTCACGATGTACCGTTGAGATATAAGATACGAATGACTGGCAATATAGAGATATATATAATATATGAAAAATACTTTATTTGCAAATATAAATCCTTACTAATATTATAAATGCGAAAGTAACTGTGTCTGTCTGTCTGCTGTTACGCTTTCACGCCTTAACCACGGAACTGATTTTAATGAAATTTGGTACAGACATAGAGTTGACCTTGAGAAAGAACATAGGATAGTTCTTATCCCAGACTTGAAAAATTCTCTTGGAAACGCGATATAACCGAACTCCTCGCGGGCGAAGCTGCGGGCGGAAAGCTAGTATACATATATTTTCAATATAATATGTTTTGTATGGAAGATATTATCAAGATTACTATTGTATTGTTCTTCTAGAACTTTCATTTCTCGAACATTCCATCAAATAATACGTCTAGGTACATTATTTGTATAAAATACATCACAATATTTTACAAGATAAAACTTTTAACATCAATATGTGTCTACACATAATATGTATATATATATATATATATATATATATATATATATATATATATATATATATATATATATATATATATATATATATATATATATATTAAAACGAATTATTTTAAAATAAAAATTTAATGAATTCCTATGAGATTATAATAGGAGAAAGCTTCGTTTTACTTCACACAGACGCTTAGGTATGTATATAAAAATTATGAGAGTATAAAATGCCTTACAAAATTCCCCGTACATTTTTTACGCAGGTAAGTTAAAACATCCTCATATCAATCTCTTGAACAAATATTAAGACGATATCCCAAACGTCCTTCATACATACCAACCTTGCCAATGTAATTATACTGAACACTTATTTGAAATTATTATAAATTAAAATTATAGGCTTTGTAAGAACAACTAAAAATTGTTTGTACTAAGTTAATAACTAGGTAATTATTAGATATATTTAAAAGTAAATAGATAATAGAAACACTTGGACTATAATTTCTAAGTCTTATACATACAGAAGTTATTGAACCAACTAGTGTTCTAGTTAGTCGTTAATAGAAGATATAACTAAGCTTCTTTTTATATTGATTTATTAGATTAAAAAAATGTAATACTAGTGTTGCCCGTGATTTCGCTCTTTTTAATATTGGAATTGCAGAGAGAAATGTATAAAGTATGTTAAATGTTAAAACTAGATTACTATATCAACCAGCAACACCTATGATTTGTGTGAAGAAACTTAAAGCGGGAATTACACGAAATTTCGTAATAAATTATATCCTATATCTTATTCTGTGGTTTTACTTATACTACTGTAAACTTTAATTAATATCTGATGATTCGTTTTTGCGTAAACAACAAACAAACATACAAGCAAAGTTTCGCATTTATTATATATGTAATATCATTAATTATTTTATTATAGTTAAAAGAAAATGTTATATATCGTCCAATGAACTGGAAAGTTTTGGAAAGGCCGGATTCTTTAACAATCGTGTTGTGTGTACATTTATCATGTTTTATATAACTCGTAAACATTTAATGTATTTCAGACAATACAATATACATAGTAGCAGAGACTTAGTTTTTTTCAAGTCATAAGTCTTCATTAATAGAATTATTCGTCATAACTTCCGATTTAAATACTTTTAAACTGTCAGCATGTAGGTTTACGAAACTCTTTCGTACTTATGAAAATATATCTTACTACATAATTACTTTAAAATATTATTATTATTATTATGTATTTTAATAGATGGCTATAAATATTGGTTATATGATTTATAACAGAATGTCCTTGAATATAGTAAACTATAATCTGTTAAAGCAAAATATATATTCTGCTATTAAAAATATTTTCTATAAAAAATATGTTACTTATAAACAAAGCCGCCATCCGTTAAAAACTATTTAATGAGATCGAGGATTCTTTACAAAATCTTCTTCTACCTGGCAATTACCCAGCTTAAGGCAGGACCTGCCTTACATGTTGTAAATAGTTTTGGCTAATTGTTTTTACGACCAGCCGCCTGCCTGACATCAACCCTCTTTTGGGAATGCATTAATCAGTGATGTCTAAATACTCTTACAAAGTACATATGACTCGGAAAAATCACATTGGTACTTGCCAAGATCGAACCCGCGCTCATGCATGAGAGGCGGGCCTTAACCACTAGGTCACCACTGACTTTAAGATTCTTTACAAGATAATAGATATAGATATATTATGTGTGTAAAATAATAATTTTATTATGTACCAAACAATATGGCATATATTCTATTGCGTTATCGTCATAAAATTAAAATGGTTATAACGATCTATCGAGTACATAATAAATTACAATTACATACATACTATATTATATAATTATAGCTATTTGTATTGGTAAATATTAATGAACCGCTGCAGTGCTCGTATGTAACCCGAGAACACATGTATGAAGTCATGTACATAACTTTCTCTACGGTTACGATATATGTACATATATATTATTATATATTATATATATGTGTATGTGTGTGTGTGTGTGTGTGTGTGTGTCTATTCACGTGACTTTTTGTATGTGTGCGTGTATTTTCGTGTTTCTATCTCTACCTATAACTCTTGGAATGATTTCTGTTCTAATGAACTCAAATTATATGTTTTTTCTGATAGATTATGTAAATGTGTTTTGTAATAGCAATGTTCTATTTACTTTTTTCATTTACGCCACATATTCACATAAAAGTACGTTCGAGTTAAAAGACAGTTTATTTTGTTTCGTTGTTCAAACAAATTTTGAAATAAGATTTACTAACACACAAATTTATTGAGACTTAACTTTTATTCTATGGATACATATTTTTTTAATTTAAAAAATCGAACTCAGTCGATCCGTTAATTTCTAATATATAGAGATTGAGGAAGGAAAATATTATTGAAAATCTATAAAATATGGAAAAGAAAATGTTAATAAATACACCCAAATTTCATAATTCGTATACCGTAAGATGAAAAATGTAAAATTTATTAGAATATAATTAACTACTGGAGGTATTGATACTAGAAACTAATTGCATGTAATTTTAGTCTAACTAACAAATAAAATTACAACATTCCTATATAGAACAATTCTTACTACAGAAGGAACGTATCCTACTTATATTGAGTTATTTAGTTAAAATATAATTTAAGATTTCTATTTATTATTGTACTGACTATTCACGGTTCTTGGAATCTATGAGACATGTCAGAAAACTGTACATTATTCAAAAGGAAAGTTTCTTTAAAATTAAATAAATCAGAATTTTTTTATTATTTTTTCCTGTCTAATATCCCATTCATGTCACTTCATCTCAATGATAATGTTAAAGCAATAGTATTTACGAAGAAATTTCATAAAACACGTGTTAGAATCGAAAATCTGCAAAATTCAAAACATACTTTTATCGTGGTAAGCGGTATTAGCTCTAAAACTATCTAGCTGACGAGCTCACAAAACATCAGCGTGAAGTAATCTATAGAAAGAGAGAGCCGGTTACCCTTTCCCTTTTCCCTCCCATTCCCTCCCATTCCTCCTCTTCAAAAATCATGAGTGGCAACGCATCTGTTTTGCCTTCTTTAGCATTTTTTTATGGAAAAGGGGGCAACCGAGCAGTCGACCTATCTGATGAATGTAGTAGACATCCATAGACATCTTCAACAAGAAATTGCGGATGTGTCACCCTTACTTAGGGAAGAGGGGGAGGAAAAAGTAGGAAAGGGAGGGAAAAGGGAAGGGTATATATCTTACCTCAGATTAGCCAGTTCAGTACAGGAGTTGGCTAGCAGGTAGTCCCCACTGAGTAAAGCGATCTTGTTCCCAAACATCATATCATCAGGTTCGCCAGGACCGAGTCTCGTGTTCATGTTGACCAGACCCTTGTGGACCAAGTGAGATGTACGGATCATCTCCGTCACCTCCGCTAGAGCGCGCTGGCTGCATACAATACATACAATACATATACTATATAATTACTATACTTCAACAAAGCCTACAAAACATTACAAGCTTCCTAATAGCTAACATGTAAGAAGAACTAGAAAATAATAAATTATTTTGTTCTTTAAAAAAAATTACTTCATGGCAAACGTATTATTCATAATTTATATATGGATGCGTTATTTAAATTAAACAAAAATAAAAAATTTTGACCCTAATACAAAGCTTTCATTATCAAAATATGTAATTTAAATAGAAACAAAAATTACGCGTCTTTCAAACGTACGTAGGTATGTACTATACTATGTATCATTAACGTAATATATAATAAGAAAATTGTTGTAACACCTTAGTTACGATTACCGAACGTTATCTATTATATTTCGTTACCTGTGCAACACTCCCGCTGCTTTGTCCTGCTCCATATCCGGTATTTCCGGGCTATGGCCCGCAGCCTTGGAGACCAGCAATACTATCAGCCCCCACGCTTGCATGTTGTTCTTTCCATTATATATAAGATTCCTGTTCAAAACACACAATATTTCGCTTTAAATGTACTCACTCTTACAAAAAAAAGTAAAGCATATTTCTAGATTAAATTCGGCTGAATAAAAAAAACCTATGTTCTTTATTTAGTTATAATGTTTTGGTCCAAAAAAATTTGAATGATTTGCGTCATTATACAATTCATTTACAAAATGTAGCTGTTGTATTGCGTTTCATAATCACAGTGAATGCAATAAACAACACAGCCATGGATGACCTGCTCACTGAGGCAAAGGTATGATTAACATAATCCAGACGCAAATAACATTCATTTGTTTGTGTGTTAATGAAGTTTTACCTATCATTATACTTAATTTACTTCATTAACTTACACTCAACTTATTTATTTACTTGACAGAACTTAAAAAAATTACTAATTTTTATTCATTTTAAACCACAAAATAATTTCATAGTTATTTAAAAATGGAACTCGACTAACTTTGCGGTTTTGAGCAATGGATGGTTGCTTCCAACGAGTTTTCGTAAGTGCAAAGCGACGTTCGCAATTTCGTCACTGAGCACCCATCGCAGGCTGAGGAAGGAGGTCGGATAGCCAACGATCTTCTCAGCCTCGCTAACGGCCCTATTCCAATCTGGTTTACTGTTGTGTTGTGCAACAGCCCGATTTGAACTGCTCGTGCTAACTTCCCGAATACAAGGTCCCCATAGTTTTGCAACTAATGCACTACACTGACTAACTTTCACCGAATCAAACTTCAGAACACCACCCAAACGACTTAAACTCATCTTGATCACAAATATTACACAAAAACGAAGTTTTTAATTATCGCACTTTTCAATATTCACGATTTATTTAGTAACGTTTATAATAGCATATTTTAATTATTTTTAAACCTTTAAATTAATTAAAAAACTGTTTCACTTTACAATTTATATTTTCGCAAAATTTAAATCAAATTGTAGTTTCGTAAAAATTGGTTACGCGCTATTCCGAACAACGTTCAACTCATTGCCGCGAATTTGTTTAACTGCAAGTGATGGTACACAGTACACACTAGAAGGAACTCGCGTCACGAGACGCCTATTGGCCAGTTCCTTTACTGTGACGTTTCTGACATATATGAACTAAACGTCATCCGTGACAGATTTGATAGTTTGTGTTGCTAGTGTGAAAATTCAGAAATATTTTAAATAATATTAAAACCAGCTTTTAAATATTGAAACAAAGACATCGATATTCTCAATGCTTTTGAATACCAATACGAATAATAAGACATAGGTAAAACTTTTTCATATCTTTTCGATGTCAAGGTATTGGTACTAATTAGAACTTTATAAAAATATTTATTAATTTTAATATAGGACCTAATTGTAATATAGGCATATTTTCTTTTGCTACGGGGAAATTGAATAATGCACATTTGTAAATAGAAGTATTCTATTAGTACAGAATAATTTGTAGAAATTATAAGTAAAATTGAAGTATTTTGTTACTCTAAGAAAAAAATTATTTCTTAGGATAAAATAGTTAACTGACAAATATGTTTATACTACTGTGAGCCGTTCTGAAACCCAAAGAAAATTATTTCGTTTATTCGTTCAGAATATGTGAATCTAAAAATAGCCAAGTTTTTCTACTCATTCTTTGCGTTCGCTGTTCGTTCGTTTCAGTTTAGTCCATCGCGTGTCACCGGCTATTGTAGTCGACTGCTAGAGGTCACTACGAACTGCCGGCATTCAAGTGTCCTAAATAATTGAAATCTTCATATCGAACATTGTGTTACTAAATATTATATACAGATTTTATCTGTTACAGTGCAAAACTTTAAGTAGTGATTCGCTCATACAGTTTTGTACTTCCACCGAACTTACCTTAAGGTAGCAAATTTTGTGCACTTTGCATTAATTCTTTTTGGTTTACTTTATTAATATTTTGTCCACGTGTTGAGTGTTCTTAATACACATTAATAAATTGATTTTTAAAAGGTACTTCCGAAACGCAATATTACAGATACTTACATTTTGATTTTGTCTACATTTGCGCAATAATTTTAAGAAAATCTTTTATTTTATACAAATAATACCTTAGTTCTGAGTGGTGCTAAATGCTGATAAACATTGTAAATAATATTCAATTTAAGAGCTTTTCATCTTAATTATTAATAATATTATCTTTTTCCTACTATTATCTGCTTACACTATTTCATATGCTAGCATCTTTGATAACAATTCCATTTTTAAATTCTGATTTCTCCATTGGAATAAATTGTAAATATTATGTTCAATTAAGACTATACAATTATTTGGGTCCTAAAAAAATTTTATTAAAGGCCATTTTCCATAATCAAAGTAGTTAATATAATTGAGAAAACCTAAACCAAAATTGTTTGTGGTATATATTGCTTAATTTTATTAATATAAAAATATATAAAGAATGGTTTAAGAACAAAATGAGATTTAGGGTGAAGGTTAAAGTGACCTTCACTATGACCTATCTTGAAGGTTATTAGCGTTTGAATTATACCTCAAAAAGGTTTTAATTAGAAAAGCTAATTGATTGCCTTAAGTCCAAGATTGGAAATGGAATTGTATTGTTCCTATAATGATGAACAGTTAGGAGTTAAATTTTAAAAGGAAAGACAGTATGAACTTGTATTTAAAGACTTGATAGGATTATTTTGTAATTAAGGAAGTTTTATACAATAATACTAAGATATACTTGTTAAATCTTAGATGGCAAATTAAAAGGTACTAATTTGAAATATTTATTACTCTAAAAGTGGTAGGTTTTATATATAAGGTATATTTCTATATGAAAGATGTACATCACATCAATGCCTTCATTTGACCCAGGTATGGAGTGGGAAGCACCACCCAAGCAAGGCTTGTACGACCCTCAGAACGAGCACGAGGCTTGCGGTGTTGGATTTGTTGTTGCTATCGACGGAAAACGTTCCCATAAGGTAACCACAATTTATCATCTGAATCATAAAACTATATCTTAGATATATACTTGAGTTTCAAAGTTGTTAATATACTGTATAATAATAATTTGTATCAATAAAAAACAGAAGTTTTTCCTTATTTATATTTATTATCAATGTATAATATTTTTTACTATATTTTAATCATAACTGTTTTTTTAAGTTATTGTGACTGAAGATCATAGAAAATATGTATGGAGTTTTTAATGAAATAGTACATAAACACTGAGGTGAAAAGCATATAGTAAATAAAACTATTCAATTTGATTATTATATATAATTCTTATGGAGTAATTTGAAATCCATCTAATAATTGCTGCAGATGTGTTTTTGTCTAGACATTGAATACAAATTATCATTGCAAATGGAAATATGTATACTTCTCGCAATAATAAAATGTCATGGCGACGTTAAATTTTTATCACTTACACTATACTTTAAGGGCAATGGAAGGAGTAATTCGAATCGATTTTTTGAAATCGTTCGATTTTTAAAAAGTTGTAGAATATAAATATTTAATACTGGCCAGGTAATATTATGTGTTTATGAATATTTAATATGTATATTAGATCGTACGCGATGCCGAAGTCCTCGCAAAGCGTATGGAGCACCGTGGAGCGTGCGCCTGTGACAATGACACCGGCGATGGCGCTGGTGTGTTGACCGCCATCCCTCACCAGTTCTACTGCGCTCAGCTAAGGTCAGTACTCAGTAATTACTAAATTACTTAACTAATTTACTTAATCGGTTATACTTTATAGTATAACAAAAGTTGCCTTATGTCAACATTCAACAATCTTCTGACAACTCAAGTTGAAAATCGATCTCTTCAGAAATTTAATTTTGGAACGCCTTGTTTTAGTATATGTACAGAGTAGGTTAAAACAGAGCTTTTAGTATTTTTTGTGACTTATAAAATTAGGGACCGTATATTTTTTATGTTTTAGTTCGAATTGTTCAATTATGATTTTGATTATATTTTTTGTAACGCCTAATACATTTAGGGTCTAATTTTTTGGTCATTAGTGTTGGATATGTGTATGAGTTCTTGTTTCATACATAACGGTCTCATATGTTATCAATTTCATGAGATAATATTTCATACTGCATCTCCAATAAGATGGCCGACGTCATATTTCATAACACGGCACGTCATAATTATTTTCGAATTTAAATAGATCGTGTTCTTCTTTGAATTTCAATAATATTAAATAAAAGTATTTTTAAAATCATTTTATAAATTATAATATTAACTGATATTTGACAATAAAGAAGCATTTAGACTGTTTGTGGTCAAAGTATGTACTTTAAAGATATAGATCAAAGAACTCTTAGAGAGATTTTTGTGTACAAAACACTAAGTTTATTTTATTTAGGTTATTTTCTCAGAATTCTTATAAAATCTGGTCATAATTATTACATATTAGGTAATCCGCGCTTTATAATAATGCTTAATATATGGCATTCTGCCAATTATTGAAAACAATGCTCTCATGTTACACTTGGCTTCCCGCCAATAGCTTCAAACGGATGAATCAGCTGAAAACGGGATACTCGCGGGTTTTGACATTTAACTATTTTTTTTTTACTTTACAGGCTCTACAGTTTTTATGCTTTAACATTCTCTTTTTAAAAAAAGTAATAAGACAATTATTTTTTAATTTTTCCTTTTATTTTTAATTATCTATAACCAACCAGTTATATGTCGTTAATTGAAAATGTCCTCTTACTCTTTTTTTTTTTTTTTTTTTTTTTTTTTTTTTTTTTTTTTTTTTTTTTTTTTTTTTTTTTACGAAGAGAATCTTTGAAAGACTTCCCGCCGCGGGGGAAAACACGGCGGGGGCGTGTGGGATTTCCACCCACTAAACTCCTCGGCGTTCTCTGCGCTGTGCGTAGGCTAGTGAGCGGGAACGGCAAGCCATACTTCCGCTCACTACGCACGAGTCCCATGGACTCCGTCTTCGGCAGGGGTCACAGTGACTTCACCACACTTCCCCTCCTACTCCAGAGCAGCGTGCCGGGAACGCCAAGCACGCCACTCTCACTCCAGCCTATGTTGCCCGGACGCCGGTTCCCCACCAACGCCCGGAGGCTCCTCTCACTGGGGAGGCATTTGGCGAGCGTAGGCCCGCTGCCTTCTACCCAGCCTTCGTCGACGCAGGGGCGCCGAGGAGGGGTCATCTTCCCGCGCTCGTTCAGCGGCCTCTTTCCGCGAGATGACGCACTCGCTGAACCGGACCACCGCCTCCCAGGCACTCTCGCTACCGACCATGGCCTGAACCACTGCCGGCAACGAGAGATCTGCGCCAACCACCGCGGTGAGATGGCGACGCTCTATCGCCCACGCAGGGCACTCCGCCAAGGTGTGATCGGGCGTGTCATCCATGCAACTGCAATGGTGACACGCCGCGGTCGGCTCTCTTCCGACTATGTGGCACAGATACCTCCCAAAGCAACCATGCCCCGAGAGGATCTGCACCAGCCGGAAGGTCAAGGAACCGTGTCGGCGGTCCACCCACTCTTTGAGGAGCGGGCGAATAGCCTCCACGGTTCGCAACCCGGCCACTGGCTCAGAGAGCTTCCGCCTCCACCGGCGAAATAGCAAGGCGAGCGCGGAGCGCCGCCAACCTTCCACCCGATCCCGGTCCGGACTCGTTCCCCGGGATCGCTCTCGCGCACGCTGGTGGTACACCTCCGCCAGAACCTGGGCATCCAGTTCCCAGGGAGGCGTCCCAGCCAGCACGCAAGCCGCCTCATGTGAGACAGTGCGGTATGCTCGTACCACCCTCACCGCCATGACGCGCTGCACCCTGTGCAGCGCAGCCACGTTCGGCCTTGTGAGGGCACCGACCCACACTGGAGCTCCATACAGCGCCATCGAGCGCAGCACACTGGTGTAGAGACGCCGGCATGCCACGCTCGGACCACCGATATTCGGTAGGAGCCTTCCGAGAGCGTTCGCCGTCCCGAGGAGTTTCGGGACTAACCCGCGAAAGTGCTCCCGGAAGTTCCACCTTCCGTCCAGAGTCAGCCCCAGATATTTCATCCGGGGACTGAGCTCGACGCGGACGCCGCAGATGTTCATGCTGGCGCCCGTCGGAGGTCCTGCTCGAGGGCGGTGGAACAGGAGGGCCTCGGTTTTCTCGAGACCCACCCTCAGCCCGAGCATTTCTATGCGCCGTACGATTAAGGCGGTTCCCGCCTCGGCAAGCGCCTTCGCCTCTGCCAGGTCACCGCCTCGGGCTACAACGAGCGTGTCGTCCGCATAGCAGACGACGCTCAGCCCGGTCGGGAGGGCACCGCGGAGTACGAAATCGTACCCGAGGTTCCACAGGAGAGGCCCAAGGACCGACCCCTGTGGAACACCGCAGCGCACCTCGTGACGATGCACCCTACCGTCTACCCCCACAAACGAGATCTCCCGTCCGCGGAGGTAACTCCCGATTACCCGCCGAATATAGTGCGGCAGTCTGTGGTAACAGAGGGCCTCTTCAATGACGCCAAAGGGAAGCGAGTTAAACGCGTTGGTGATGTCAAGGGACACCGCCAACGCAACTCCGCCCCTAGACACGGCGTCATCAGCAAGGCTCCTCACCTTCAGGATGGCGTCTATTGTAGACCGTCCACCCCGAAAACCATACTGGCACTCGGCCAAATCGGGTCCATCCCTGCTGATGTGTCGGACGACACGGGACGCGAGGATCCGCTCGAAGAGCTTCCCCGCATCGTCTAGCAGGACGATGGGACGATATGCAGACGGCGAGTCTGCAGGTCTTCCTCCCTTCTGGAGCAGGACGAGCCTCCCCTCTTTCCAAGGAGATGGAAAGCGGCCCGCCCTTAAACACCCATTGAGGATCCCCAAGTACCACTCAGCCAACTCGCCCAGGGCGAGAGCCAGGACGCATCCAGGGACGCCGTCCGGCCCAGGGGCGGTCTTTTTGGCTCTGAGTCGCGACAGGGATCTCTCGAGCTCTTCCAGGGTTACGGCCGGTATGGCTTCCGACCGGTCCAACTCGCGAGGATTGCCTGCTGGCATCGTGTGTGCGGCCTCCGTTGGGAACAACGTGCACACGACGCTTCGCAGGAACTCTGGCTCCAAACTCTCCGTAACCGGGGCGGTCTGGGCCCGGATTTTGTTTCGGGCACCGAGGTACGGACGCCCCCACGAGTCATTGTCTAGACGCGCGAGTAATTCTTCGCGAGCCGACTCCTTTGACCTGCTTATGGCCTGCCTAAGTACTCTCTTCGCCTCATTATAGACGTCACGAAGCCTGCTCTATGTCCTCTTACTCTTTGCTAATTAATAGGTATCATATAAATTAATGGTTCAACAACTTCTACGTCATACTTAAATGGGCATGTACATAGATGTTTTTTTTTTTTTTTTTTTTATCGCGGTGAAAGGTTTTATACCTACCCCTCCGTCTAGGGGAGACAGAGGCGGTTATGTGGGATTCACGGCCAGAAGGGCCCATGTTACCCACTAAAACACCAGCGGTCACTCTCCGTTGCCGCCAAGTGGATCGCCACGGGAAACGCCGAAGCATGCATCCGCGACGATCCGGCGGCGGGCCGCGAACGGCCACCTCCCCCCCCCCCGAGGGCTCACTCCAAGTGACCAGGAGTGTCCCCCCGCCTGGCGGGCTTGCTTAATCGCGAGAGGGTTAACCCCTTACCCCTCCCACCCAAGCCCACGCGGCCAGTCTCCAACCACCCACCGACGAGCGCAAGCGCCCGACGGCAGACAGAGAGGAAACCGACCGACCACAAGCGAACTCAGGCCTCCGGAGAGACCCGAGTATCCCCTGCCCCCCAAGACAGCCACGGACGGCCTCCTGCCAGATCCGTGACCGTCTTACTCCCAGGGCTGTACCCCCAGCCCTCCCCCCCGTGACTGATTGCACCGGAATACACCAGTGGGCGATGGGGTCGTCACGTCCCGACGCCGGAATGTACATAGATGTGCCCTACTCTAGTAACATTCTAAAATACAGTTTTTTTATATGGAAGATTATTATTTACGTATATCTTTAAATAAAAACTTAAAAGACAGATATAAGTATACTTACTACTACATATATTGTTTTTAACATAATATATATGTATGTAGGATGAACCAAGACGCATAACTTTTATAAATTACTTAGTTACCTGTATCTCGTGATCGTGGTTTTGCGGTAAATAACAGCTAATTATAACTAATATATAAAACCTACTTATAAATACCTTTTTTAATTATAATACCATATATGACTAAGACGGTCTAATTTGAATTTGGAATTCGAAATGTTTGAAATAAGAATATGATAGAATTAAAGAATTATTACTTCATTACTTTTAGTTTGTTTACTTTAAAAATGGACTCTTATAGAAATAAATTTGGTTCTTTCCCTAATTAAAATGAAAAAACTTTACTTAGTGTTCGGAAAGGCGTAGTCGTATTTATTGAAATATGTTTTTTTAACTTTGGTTTCGAAAGTTCATATAACTTGTTGAGTTAATCGATATCAGAGGGATGGAAGGTGACCTCATTTTTATTTATTAAATCTTTGCCTAATAAATTTCTTGGTATTTCATAAAAAATAATAGAAAAAAATAATAATAAATTATTATAATTACATATTCTGTGCTTGATATAAATATATCTGTTTATCATATTATGTACTGGCTGTAGAGAAAAAAAAGACAACAGCTTCGTTC